GCAAAAACATGGAACTAACCACGCTGCCCATCAAAGCTGTACTGGATAAAAAAATGTGGTACATATACACAATGGAATATTATGCAGCCATAAAGAAGGGCAAACATATGGAATTCGCAGCAACTTGGATGAATTTAAAGTCGATCATACTCAGTGATCTATCACAGAAACAAAGAACAGAGTACCATATGTTCTCACTCATAAGCAGACCTTGAACAATGATCATAATACTATAAGAAAGGGATTGGCAGTAGTGGGAAACTGTCAGGGGAGAGGGGTGGGATTGGCAGTGAGTGAAACTGCTAGGAGAGGGAAGGGCACACCTCATCAATAAGGGTATCTGCATGATCAACATTTGTATACCTAACCCTGAATTGCACCCCACATCTTTAAAATAAAATATAATAAAAAAAGAAAATATTCCAGGCAATCAAGAAAGATGGAACTCTGCCTAAATCATTTTGTGAAGCTAACATCACACTGATACCCAAGCCAGGCAAAGACTCAACAATGAAAGAGAACTATAGACCAGTATCCCTGATGAACATAGATGCAAAAACTCTCAACAAGATTCTAGAAATTGAATCCAACAATACGTCTCAAAACAGGCATACCTCATCAACAAGTGTACCTGCATAATCAATGTTTTTATACCTAACCCTGAATTTACCCCACATCTTTATAATTAAAAAAAAGTATCCACCATGATCAAGTAGGATTCATCCCTGGGATGCAGGGCTGGTTCAACATCTGCAAGATCATAAATGTAATTCAATACATCAACAGATATAAAAACAAGAACCACATTATTATATCATTAGACACAGAAAAGACTTTTAATAAAATTGAGCATCCATTCTTGATATTAAAAAAACCCTTGAACACCTAGGTATAGAGGGAACATACCTCAAAGTAGTAAGAGCCATGTACAATAAACTCACAGTCAACATTTTGCTAAACGTACAGAAATTGAAAGCATTTCCCTTGAAAATAGGAACAAGACAAGGCTGCCCACTCTCACCCTTCCTGTTCATCACTGTGTTGGAATTACTCGCCAGAGCAATCAGACAAAAGAAGGAAATCGGGGGTATCCAAATAGGAAAAAAATGAAGTTAAGTTATCCTTGTTTGCTGACGATATGATTCTATACTTGGAAAACCTGAGGGACTCTGTCAAAAACCTCCTTGTACAGACAAAGGTCTTTGGCAATGTCTCGGGGCACAAAATCAATGTGAAAAAGACAGTCACATTTTTATACACCAACAGCAAGCAGGCAGAGAACTTGATCAAGTTGATTGATTGACATAATCAGATAAACTGTACTCTTCCTAATTTTTTACTTGCTTATTCTATCAATTACTAAAAGAAAAGTGTCTATTTCTCATTGGAGTTGTATAAGTTATTATTTCTTATATTTCGGTATTCTGTTGTTAGGTGCATACATGTTAAGCAATGTTGAGTATTTTTAGAGAATTGCCCCCCTTTACCATTTTGTAGTGCTTCTCTTGATCCCTAATAATGTTCTTTTTTTTTTTCCTGAAAAGTACCTTGGCTGATGTTCACATACATCTCCTTCTTTTGATTAATGTCGGTGTGGCATATCTTCTTGCATCCTTTTACTTTTAACATATCTGAGAATTTATATTGAAAGTGATTTTGTGGTAGACAACATATATTAGAGGATTTCTTTTAAAAAAAAACCACTCTGACAATCTTTTCTTAAATCGGTATATATAGACCATACAAATTTAAAGTGATTATTGATATAGTTGGAATAATATTAATCATGCTACTAAATGTTTTATATAAGAGCACTTACACTGTTCAATCTTTTTTCTTCTCTTTTTCTGTATTATCTGGTTTTAATGGAACAAGTTTTTAAAATTCTATTTTATTTAATCTCTTATCTACTAATTGTACTTTATTTTTAGTTTTATTGTAGTTGCTAGGGTTTGCAATATACATTTACAGTGAGTTCAAGTCCACATTAAAACAATGTTATAGTGCTTCACAAATAGTACAAATACATTATTACAAAGTACTCTAATCTCTTCTTTTCATCCCTTAAGATACTCCTGTCATTTATTTTACTTTTTTTATGTGCTATACCCACAGAAAAAAACTATTATTATTGTTCCTTTAAGCAAATAGTTATCTGTAAGCTCAATTAAGAATAAGGTAAATACAGTATTTCATTTTACCATTTTTATGCCTTTTCTTTATGTAGATCTGAGCTTCAAACCTATATAATTTCCCTTCTCCCTGAAGAATTTCTCTCATTATTTCCTGCAAAAGGAATTTGCTGAAAATGAATTATCTTTTTTGTTTGTCAGGGAAAGTCTTTATTTCTCTTTCATTTCTGAATAATAATCTTACTGGCTATACAATTCTAATTTTGTCACTGTTTATTTTAACCATTTAAGTAGTTCATTCCACTCAAGATTTCTGATGATAAATCTGTTCTGATTCATGTTCTTGTTTTTATATACGTACGGTGTCCCCTCAACTCTCTGGATTTTTCAAGATTCTCTCTGTCTTTGATTTTCTGCAAGTTGAATATGATATACGTAGGTTTTGGTATTTATTCTACTTGGTGTCTTTTGAGCTTTCTGGATCTAGGGTTTGGTGTCCGTCATTAATTTTGAAAAATGTATGAACATTGTTACTTCAAATTTTTCTTCTGCTCCTTTATCTTTTTTCTTCTTATAAGTATGCATATGTTATACTTTTAAAAATAATTATCCCACAGTTATTGATATTCTGCTTAATAATTTTATCTATTTTCTCTGTATAGTTAAGTTTGAGAAATTTTTATTGAACTGTTTTCAGATTCAGTGACTCTTTTCTTGGATATGCCCAGTGTACATATCTGCCTATCAAAGACATTCTTTATTTCTATTATATTGTTTTTTATGTGTAGCACTGCCTCTTGATTCCTGCGTAAAGTTCTATGTCACTTCCTACACTATTCATCTTTTTTTCTCATTGTATATTTAGTTCATCAGAGCCCTTATGTTAAATATAGTTATATTAAATTTGCTGTTCTAAAATATATGCCATATCTGAGTCTGGTTCTGATGTATGTTTTGCCTCTTCAAACTATGTTTTTCCTTGCTTTTTAGCAAGATTTTTAGTTTATCTTGAAAGCGTCACAAGATGTATTGAGTAATAGGAACTGAAGTCAAAGACCTTTAATGTGAAGTTTTACATTAATCTTTCTAGGAATTAGATTCGTGTTTAATTTTTGCTTTAGCTGGAGAAGCAATAAATGTACAATTTCTCTAGTGTCCTTGTTTTTGTCTCTCCTGTTGCCTTTGGAATTTTCTAAGAACTCCTCCTTAAAGAAGTTCTATACATAGCAGCTCTTTCAGTTGTGATCCACTGTTATTAAACTGGATACCTAATGATGTGGTGGTGTCTGGACAAGGGGAAGTGTTATAATCCTATGATTAAATCTCAGTATTTGTGTGAGCCTGTGTTCCAGAGTGATGACCCTCCAAAGTGTTCATAGCTTTCTTCAAGTTTTGTAAGATAGGAAGACTAGAGAATGCTGGAGTTGGGTAAATGCCCTTCCCCTAGGTGTGATAAGACTCTCATGGGTTTTTTTTTTTTTTTTTGAGTTGGAGTCTCACTCTGTCGCCCAGACTGGAGTGCAGTGGCCGCTCCCGCCCACCGCAGCCTAGACCTGCTGGGCTCTGGCGATCCTTCCGCCTCAGACTTCCGAGTAGCCGGAATTACAGGCATGTGCTACCATGCCCGGCTGATTTTTTGATTTATTGATGAGGTCTCGCTGCCCAGGCGGGTCTCGAACCCACGGGCTCAGGCAATCCACTCACCTCAGCCTCCCAAAGGCGCGGGATTACAGGCTGAGCCACCTAGCCCGGCTTCTCATGGTTTTTTTATTTGCTTGTTTTTTGTTTTTATCTGAAGGTAGATTTTTGTTATTGGGAATGTTCTGGGCTGACTTAAAATTGGTTTCTTTTCTCCCCTCCCTACCAAAGCCATAAGGGAGGATTATTATTGAGTCTCCACAGAGAAAACCTGAAGGGGATTCTGAAGGTTAAACCTATGAAAATATGGGAGCTTCTCTAGGGTTGCAGCTTCTCTGAGTTTCTTATTCTCAATGCCAACCCATACTCAAAATCCGGCAACTTCTCAAAACTATTGCAAGCCTTTTCCCTACAGCTTATAACTCTAGACGTTTCTGCTCAAGGTTAAAAAAAAAAGTTCTATTTATTTTAATGCTTCTCTAGATATCAGGGTAACAACTTGCTTTAAGACCTCAATTAGCTCAGCTCAAAGTAGGTTGTTGCTTTAAAGTTTGTTCAGATTTTCCTTGTTTTAAAGAAGAGTAACAGCTTCCAAAGCTCTTTATGACCACTGTAACCAGAAGTTTAAGGAATTCATTTTGTATTTTATGAAAGTCCCTGCCCAAGGTGGACTGCAAATGTACTAAAAAAAAATTCACAGAAAATGAAAATTTGAGAAGTACTGTTTTAAATAACATCAGACTTCCCTAAAGCCAGTTATGCCATACCATCAGGGAGTATGTGTGGGGCAGTGAGTATGTGAGAAGCAATGCCTTCACCTGTCTATAGCACAAATCCTATATGAGCAGGGCACATACCTTCATCACAAATAGACTCTCAGGAATGATCATTTAGTCATTTTTTCCCTTAGGCCTGGGTGAAACTGGGAAAAAGCAAGTCCCAGAGTTTCTTCCCAACCTCTTCCCTGTCCTCCGGAGGGACTTAGACAAGAATGAGACCCAAAAACATTCCAGTATGAACTAAAAATTTTTTATTGTTTCTGATTCCTCAGACCATGGAACAAATAAAAGAGTTTGACATAAAGGGGAGGAGAAGAAAAAAAGAGGGAAGATTAGAAGAATGAGGTGTTCAGATTTCGGGAGTAAGAAGAGGATATTCCTTCTATTCACTCTACCCCTATATCCACAATGAATTGTGTACCAAACTCAGGCTGATGACTTCCTGCCTGTCCTAGTCTCTGAACTTGCAGACATAGGGTAACTTCATATCACAGTTATAACCTTTCCATTTCAGGAATCCTGGGGAGAGAGAAGAAGTGCAAGGAATGGGACCGGGGGCGTTGTGATGCAATGAAGAGGCATCCCAGGTCCTGGCCTAGGGTTTAAAGCTTCTCCCTCATCTTCACAAGGGTCTCGATCTGGCAACAGGCAACTCCAAGAAAGGTGAGATGAAAGGAGGTGAGAGAAGACAAACCAATATTGCTTTTCCAAGCTTGGAGGGATTCCCTGAAGGTCATGTCCAAGAATGGGGGTAAAGGACAGAAAGGCTGAGGAGAAGCATATTCTCTGTTTCTCACCCGTGGTTTTCGACAGGCTCCCACAGTGGCCTTGATTTGTAATGTAGGAGGGATGTCTCTCCCAGGCATTATAATTCATCAAATCTTTGCTGCTCCACTCCCATCCATCTCCACTGGCCTCACTGCCCTATAGAGAAGAGGATGCAGCCAGGTGAAGGGAATGGCCATTGCAGCTCTTCCTGCACGATTCCCTGAGCTGCAACACCGTTTTTCCTCCCCAGCATCAGGGAATTTATTCTGCTCTTCCAGATGCTGCCGGAGATATTTTCACTGGGAAACTCTTTATTAACTCCTCATTTCTATTGGAAAACCCCAGCCAGTAAACACAAGAACTTTGGAACCACTCAAGGTAATATATTACTTGCGGAACAATGATTGCTGCTGCGTTTGTGATTAGCCTGCGAACCTCAAAGATAATGTCTTTTCTGTAGGAGGCAAAATTCGATCCTATCTTCATTTAGGATTTCCTCATAAATGATCTGAGCAGACTTCCTGAAGAACTGATTTACATGTGAGAATTGTGTGAAAACCTTGACAAGAGTCAGATTAACTTCGCCTAAAGATTAAGAATCGGCACAAAATTCAACTCTTCAGCTGCCTTTCCCCTGGGGTCCCCCAGAATCTAAGAGGTCCTTCGAATGGTGCTGGGTGACAACAGCCACTTGAGAGATAACAAAAAGGAGAGGATGTAAATCACACCTGTGTGGTCATGAAGTCCAATCCAGATGGTTGAGTAGGAAATCACCATGCTGTTGATCGAGGCGGACACAAAGGATCCTTCAGCCCCACTGAGCACAGACACCAGGTGTCCAGGAGGGCTGCTTCTGGCAGGCCTTCTGTATAGGGATAGAACAGAATGAGAGAGAGCTTGATCTTACTGAGGAGGGCAGCACAGAGTTGGGCAGGAGGCGAATTGTGCTCAAGATAAATGCAAAAGAGAAGCATGTTCATTCTCATTCCCAAGGAACACTGGAGAGTGAAAACCTCCTCCCCTTGAGAACCCCATGGACGTTCCCCTATCATCCTCATCCCGTAATATAACCAGTCACCTCTGACTGCGTCCAGGTTCTTGGTGTCACAAACAAAGCATAACAGTGGTAGCCATAGACCTTGGAACCTTGGGGACAGCGGATCCTTGGAGAAGTCAGTTCCTTCTGAGACTCTTCACCTTGGGTAGAAGCTAAAGAAGAGGGATTGAGTGAAATAAGCACTGGGGCTTGGGGAGGTGACATTGGGGAATGTCTATGAGGCCTGTCCTTGAGAAGAGAGAGACATTCACGACTCCCTCTCATTTTTGCTTATGTCTTCAGAATTATTGGTTTCAAAATAACCCTGCTAAGTGAGGAGTCATTTCTTCTTTTTTAACTCTTTCCTCTTTTTGAATAGTCTAACAGACCCCAGACTCTGAGCTGTCTCTACCCTGGGGCCGCCAATCATTATCCCTTCCCATATCTCTTATTGACCCTTCTTCTTTTTCCTCTTCAACCCACCATCATAAATTAAAGTCCAGTGAAAAGATTTATTTAAAAAAAACAAAACCTCATCCTATTGTTAATGGATTACTGTGTTACCTCTCACCACGAGTAACCAGCAAGAAGGAGTGATGATGGATGCACACCAAGCAGTTTCATTGTGTGTGGAGACACAGCACACCATTAATACACATGACACACAGGAACCTTCCTCTTCTTCTTGGCTCTCAGCATTCACAGAGAACCCAGTACCAGAGGCAGGGAGACCTCACTTTGGACCTGAGATAGGAGCATCAGGCAGGAGAACAGCATCGGACTCACTGGGGAGGGCCATGGAAGACAGCATGGTGTCTATGTCTTGAGGAGACAATCAGATATCACTAAAGGAAGTATGGTCAAGAGAAGGACATGCAGAGACTCTACTGTCTCTTTTTACTTATTTTATTTGGTGTCTTAGGAATAAATTGATCGTGGTCACAACCATTCCCTTCTACAGTTCTGAAATGAGTTGAAGAAACCCTATCACACCCGAGGCCTCCCATGCAAGCCTTGCTGGATTTCAGAGCTCCTATGTTCTCTAAGAGCAGAAACCCTCCTCCACCTTTTCCTATAATGTGTGGGGGTAAAATCCTCCCTGGATCTCATCTCTCCACTTCCACTTACCTGTCTTGTAGTGATCTGTGATGGTTTGTGTGGTCAGGAAAGACTGGGCTTTTATAAGAAGATCTGAGGGAGGGGCAATGAAGTTAATAACAGGAATTCAAAGGCAGGATAGGGTGATGGGAAGGGCTTGGCACTGGTTCAAGGAGATTTCCACCAAGGGGAGGGGAGTCTTCCTGCCCTAGGGTGGGAATTGTCACAGATGTTGCCTCTTTACTATTATCAGACCAGCACTTTTCCCAGGAACAGGTGATATTAAGGTACTTTCTCTACCCTTTCCCAGATATTCTGTTTTTAGTAATTTAAGGTTCAGGGAGCCAAATTCTGTGTTACATAGTTTGGGAACTATTATGGCGTTAGACAGTTAAGGGACATATCAGAAGTGTTTGACATGCCAGGAACTCACTCCTATAGGCATCCTATGAATTTTTTTATACCTTGTCTAGTAAGACTTAAAACCAATTAATGAGTAAAAAAATGGAATGGGCATAGGAATTGGAAATACTGGAGAGGATAATGTATTAGTTGATTTAAAAAAATTGAAACCAAGTAAAGAAGCACCCGTTCAGAGATGTTGCTTCATTTTGCAACAACAACAAAAAAATGACAAAAGATCAAGAGAATTTTGAGTCAGTAGGCAAGTCAGAGACTTAAGGAACAGCAGCGGAAAAGATTTGCTTTCCAGTTACCTCGGGGTCAGAAGACTGAGAAATAGTTCCTCTGTTTACTGTAATTCTGAACTTATGGTTTGATACCTTAGATGGCATTCTGAGATTGTGATCAGCACACTCAGGGGGTCTTCAAGACCCCTTCAGAGTGGCTGTGCTGTTGCAATTTTCATAAGTATACTAAAATGTTGTTTGTCATTTTCACTGTGTTGATATTTGCACTGATGAGGCAAGGGACAAAATAAACAGTGGGCGGAATTTCTGCTGCCCTAGCATTAGTCAAGGCAGGTGCATCAAGCTGCATTGTCATGGCCATGTACTTGTGAGAGACAAAAAAAAACATTACCACTTAAAAATATCCTCAAATTTAATGAAGCCGTGAAGATCATTAGTTTTTGTAAATCTCAACTCTTGAATACATCTAGAGTGAATATTCTTTAAGACTAAGTAGGAAGTCTACACACCAAAGTCTAATGGCTGTCTTGAGGAAAAGTTTTTTAACACTGAGTTTTAATTTGCTGTTTTCATGGAACATCATTTTTACTTGAAAAACAAACTGACATAAAACTTTTCCTATTCCCTTATGGGTATTTTGTTGACATGTTTTCAAAAACTATCAAGTTGAGTTAGCAAATAAACATTCTAAAATGTCCTCTTTTAATGTCTAGTATTATAAATATTTACAGCTCACATGAATAAAAATTTTGGGGTGTCTTTAATGATTTTTAAGAGTGTAAAATTGTCCTGGGATAAAACAGTTTGAGATCTCTGATTAGCATCTAGCGTCATACTTTCAAAAAATACAGGAGATGGAGACAGGCTTTATGTGACAATACAGAGATGCCATCAGCAAAGTCTAAAAGATGGGCAGTTCTATAGGACAAATCACTCCATTTCCTTAACAAATGAATTTAAGTAAATGAATCATCATAGCACTCTTAACATGTGAGCGATACATCAGTCAAATACAATTTGCACACCATGTATAGATCCTGATTTAGACAACACAAATGGGAAAAATAATTATGAGATAGGTAAAAATGAGCATTTGATAATGTTAAGGAATTGTGTGTGTGTGTGTGTGTGTGTGTGTGTGTGTGTGTGTTGTGTTTGTATATATATTTTTTGAGTTGGAGTCTCAGTCTGTTGCCCAGGCTGGAGTTCAGTGGCACACTCACGGCCACCCCAGCGTTGACCTGCTGGGCTCCAGCGATCCTTCAGCTTCTGTCTTCCAAGTAGCCAGAACTACAGGCATGCGCTACCACGCCTGACAACGTTTTTGATTTATTGTAGAGACAAGTTCTCCCCAAGTTGCCCCAGGTGTTCTTGAACCCACGGGCTCAGGCAATCCACTTGCCTCGGCCTCCCAAAGTACTGGGATGACAGACTGAGCCACCAAGCCCAGCCAGGATTTATATTATTTTAGGTGTCATTATGGAATTGGAATTATATTATTTTAAAATGTATTTATCGTTTAAAATGCCTATGACAATGCTTACAGATGAAATATGTTATTCAAAATTTACTTCAAAATAATCCAGTGTGAAAAGTCAAGAAATAAGTATAGAGATTCAAACAGAGAGACCATGGAGTGATAACTATTGTTTGCTTGGTGATATATATTAACTAATAGTACTGGTTTCTTTGGGGTTGTCTGTATGTTTGTCATAAAATATTAGGAAAAAAGTTGTGAAAGAAGGAAAAATTGAGGGTCAACATGAGAAAAAAGTTTAAAGAACATATGACTCAAGAATATAGATGGAGAATTTCTGAGCAAAATGTTAAATCAAATTCACTGAGGTATATAATAAATGAAGAGAAAGAAGTGTTAATCTCAGGGTTGTAAAGATAGTTGATTTTGAAGAACCATTAACACAGGTCTCACATTCAAAAATTAAAAGAGAAAAAAATATGGTCATCTTAAAAGGAAAAAAAAAGAAATCATTAAGTGAAATTCAACACCCAATAGTGAGGGATAAAAATTCTTAACAAGGGGGCAGCTCGGTCTGTGAGACTCTCCACAGAAGAGAACACAAAGAGACTCTGGTTCTCTCCCCGGAGGCTGCAGATCCCATCATACACAGCCTGCTCTTCACATGAAGTTCGGCCATAGATTTGCTGAGCCATCACCATGCTCTGGGCAGCTACTGTGGCTGCTGCTGCCACCGCTGCAGCCACGGCTGCGCAGCCATTCCACATTGCACCGCCTGTGCCTGAGGCGAGTCGCAGCCACCGCTGCTGCTGAGGCAGCCATTCCACATTGCACGGCTGTACCTGAGGTGATCCACGACTTCAGACTTGAAGGCCCGGCGAGCAAGATCTGCTGTGGTCTACTGCCACCGTGACACCCTGCCAGGCTGTGGGTCTCCTCCTATATGCCTTGAGGCAATGTCTCCCTCCCCTTAGGGGCAGGCGAGCAGCTGAGATAAAGACCATCTGGAGTGAGGGATAGCACCACCTGCAGGTAATTC